TGTATTAAGCAGTCGGTGTGTGAATGTGTTCAGCAGTCTGTGTGTATGTATTGCATTTGTTGGAGATACTAATAAATATAAGCTTAATTTTATCTATTTTTATCATTATTTAAAATTTGTATCATTGAACTCTCTGTTGTAGTTTTCTTCTTTTAAAACAAAAGTTGTTAGTTCGGAACAACTGTACGAGTTGTTTTTTCTAAACTTAAACCTCAGTATTCAGGTTTAATTGCCGTGTTGAAATTTTGAGAAAAGAAAAGTTGGCATGTATTACGGTTTGGGCACTCAGGCTTAAAAAGGTTCGCCATCACTGGGCTAGATGGACTGATTACTCACAAGAACAACTACATTAAGATGTAGTTATTCTGTGATGGGGGGGAGTGTTGCTGTACCTCCTCGCGGCTACACATGATCTTGGCGTGAAGCACGGTTGCAGTTGGCCTCCGATCTTCCCCGCACGTCCCGACATTGTGACATCTCGTTCTCACATTATTTGTGACACGGAATGCTTACACTGTACCCCTTTATATATTTAAAGGAATAAGTAATTTTATTTACGATGTTTCTCTCTAGGATGACATCACACATACCAGTACCCAATCACCACACAGTATTTAGCTTCCTGGTTGTTCCTGTTTTCTTGCCCTCTCGTGTTTTTTGTTTAACTGAGACTGCGTTATATTCTATACTTACCTGTTTTTTAAACTTTTGACTGTCCTTGTTCTCTTTAACCGTGACCTCTGTAATTTTTGTCCTCAGCCCGCTTACATTTATCTTCTGTCTGCTTGCAATATTCTGACATATTCTTTGTGCTAGCCTCTATAAGGACCATTACACATTCCTACCATGTCTTCAACCTAGGTTTGTGTGTTAGGGTCAGGTTAGTCCTCACAGGAGGGCCGCGCTCATCAATGGGCAGAAGTCCCCTGTATGACTGCTCTTTTCCCTGCCCACCTCTGTCCCAGAAGGTGAGCAGGAAGTGTTTGCAAGTATACTTTACCTGAAATTCAGACACTAACAGCATTATTCACTAAAGTGAGAAATCAGTTTGAATTTTACATTTTAGGCCAAAAATGAAAGGAATTACCACATTTTTTATGAGATGCTGGCCGGCCTCCCCTCACAGCAGAAACAGATGTTTTATCTACAGGACGCTGAGACCTATTACTACCTGAATCAGGTAAGACAAAATTATCTGTGTCAGTAAATTACTGTAATTACTGAATGTTTTCTCATTTATTTTGATTATTGTTACCTCTAGTTAACTCTTGAAAGGTTAAGTCCTCCTTCGACCTCATGCCTTAGGAAGGCGTCATGTTGGCCAAGCCTATAGCACATTATCATTGTGTATCTGTGGCTTCTGTATACAAAGTGTATAAATTATACTGATTTTATCTGATGTTTAGGGTGGTAACTGTGAGATTCCTGCCAAGAGAGATGCAGAAGATTTTCGGAGGCTCCTGAACGCCATGGAATCACTCAGCTTCAATGCAGAGGATCAAGACAGTATCTTCCGAATCCTGTCTTCCATCTTGCACTTGGGCAATGTCTACTTTGAGAAATATGAGGTGCTTCAAGTAGGGGGAGATACTGACCAATAGGGATATAGATATGTGGATTTAAGACTAATTACAGTATAAATGTATGCATAAATAGCAATTCTAACTTCTGATAGTGTGGTTGTTTAGGACTGAAAAGAAAAGGGAATTGAATGCACACTCATAGCGTTCATTTCTCAGAAGTGGTGCTGCTGTTAAGGTGAAAATATATGCAAAATACAGATTAAGGAACAGCACACCCCAAAAAAACAGTATTAAATCTTAAAAGGTTACTTAAAATTATACCATATGGCCATATCGTGTTAAGCCCACCACTATGTCACAGTATAGTACCCCAATATTCACCCACTAACATATTGACCTTCAGCAATATTTATTGACCAAGATCTTGCCCTTCTCATACAATCTCACATAGAGTGTATCTGTGTGTCCTATCAGCGAGCCAGACATCCTCTGATGGTCCTAGATGCTCTCTCCCGATCCAGCGATTCTCATGCCAGATGCAATGACGTTTTACATTGTTCCAACATTGACAATGAAGTGGAACACTCTGACTCTCTCTCCCTTTATTCAAATCATAGCCCACTTCTTGTGAGGGCAAAGAGTACTGGCGGCCTCCCACACAAGACAGGAGCCGTGACTTGAATAAATGGAGGGTACATTCATTTTTGTGTCACCATTAATGCCCTGTTGTGGTTATTGTTTGCCCAAGAATGCGTTCCTTTATCCTTAGTATTTCTGGTACCTGACTTGGCCTGGGTTTCTTTAATCATTTACTCTGTGTTCAGCTATTTGTGACCCTTTGCTCTGCTATACTCGTTTATCTATATGTCTCCAATCCTGACCTAGGCCTGTAGCTGACAATTCTATATCCAATATCTCCAATACTGGCCACTCTGAGGTTCGGTAATACATATTTTCCATAAATAGGGTTCTACTTGCCTCACTGTTTGTGAGTTAGGGCATCTGTCCTTTACGGTGCGAGCTTGTTTCTGCCTGCTTCACAGTAACAGACAAGGGTGTCCACTATCTCCTCTCCCTTTTGATACTAATATTGATATTCTAAACCTTTGTAAATCGTCCCCACCATTGTATCAGTAGATCACACACACACACACACAAAAATAAAATTGGCTTCTTACTTAATGCTACCTTACCCAAATCCTGCCAAATGTAACAAAAAAAATTGCAGGCGTTCTCATTCTCACAAAATCTGTCCAAGAAAAAAATGTATCAAACGTTTAGCTACAGATGTTGGGGTCAATTCACATTCCGGTGTTATCTGGTTGGTGGTGGAATAATCCTTCTGCACTCTTCTGGCAGCCCATTATATGATGACCCCTGCATGGGACCTACCATTAAAATATTTTTCTTATGGACTACGGTCTACCATAATGTAAAAATGTATAATATATTGGATTAGAAATATTGTTTTTACTTAAACATCTCATATAATCAGTTGGCACGTTATAACCAGGAATGCTTCTAAACTATTTTTTTTTTTATAAAATGTAGCGTATAGTCATTTGTTGAGTCCACATTTTACTTAGCGCATTATGTACTTTTTTTTAAAAACAATTGTTTCTGATTAAAATGTTGATGTGGCAATCCTACCCTTATTGTGTCTTTAACTCTGCAGACAGAATCTCAGGAAGTCGCGTCGGTTGTCAGCGCAGGCGAAATTAGAGTGGTGTCCGAACTTCTTCAAATATCCCATGAGGGGCTCCAGAAATCCATCACCTTTAAAGTAACAGTGAGTTTACAGGGTTAAATTACTTTCAAATAAAGAAAGCAATGTACATACCAACCCGTTTTCTGTGTGACCATCATGGAACAAAGGGAGCAAGACATGAGGCGAGGGGCACCAGCCAAACACAGGGTTATTCAATAAAGGTTGGATGTAGCCTTGTCAGTACTGTCATAATATTCTAAGACTATTCGGAGCATTTTTCAGGGCATCAAACCTCCAATATCATTCATATGATTTTTCTCTGAATTTAGTCCCATGACATGAATTTACACTGTAGATTA